AAGTTCAAAGGTCGTTTGGAATTCTTTGAACAGGAATAAAGTGAGTGAACATGATTGGCCGGTGAAGTGACCAGATGTGATTCCAGGTAAAAATTTATGGTATTTTTTTAAAAATCATTTCACCCCAAGCTGGGCAATAAAGACCTAAAGGCGTGCTAATTTTTGAGAATATGTAAAAAGAAAACATCCTTAAGGCAAAAGCAATATTAGAACAAGAAAGAAGAAAACAGAAGATAAAGATTAATATTGCATTCTGATTTTAGAAGATCAAAGTGGACTGGGAAACAGGAAATCAAATGAGATTTCCACAAACGAAAAGGGCAAGAGAGGAAACTCTTAGGGTAGAACTTACGGTTACATCTCACCATTTCCTCTTTAAAATGATGAGACCTAGCCGCGAGTCTAGTATTGACTTGGCATATTTTACCTAATATTAAAAGAAAAAAAATATTTCTTAGATGATGCAGTTTTCTTGCAAAATATTTTCCTATCAACTGCAACATTCGACACGAAATATAGAATTATGCACGCAGAACTATTTCTACACTAACAATTTCATAATTTTCAAAGAAAAATGGCTTGACTTTATATTTCACGAAACGATAAACTATATCCAGCAGTAAGGTATCTGATCGGGGGTGGGTGAGTAGCAGGAAAACCACATCTTAATAGATGGTGTCCACAGGTCCTGTTTGACCCATTCAGGACTATAGTAGAATTACTAACAATACACTTTATCAGCAGATGAAGCCATAAAATTGTGTTCAAAAGATTTACATTTCGGTATTAACTAACCCATAGAGGTGAATGTAATGCTAAGACGAATCCACAAAAACATATTGAATTTTATTTATTATATTACAGTGTAACCCGGATATAAGAGACCCGGATATAAGAGAAACCCGGATATAAGAGAGATTTTCTCTGGTCCCAAATTAGAGCCTTTGTTAATGTATATAAATTAGACCAAACCCGGTTATAAGAGAAACCCGGATATAAGAGACTTCTTATCCGGTCCTGACAACTCTCTTATATCCGGGTTATACTGTATATTTAAATGATGTTTTTTAAATTCCATTGCTATTAAAAAAAAAAAAAAAAAACTATTTCTGTTTGCAAAACATCGACATTTCCATTTGTTCTGAAGACAGCTAGTAGGAATTCCACCTAATGAAGAACTCGTGTGTCTGTTAAGCGTTTCAATGAACGCAGCAGGGGAATATGTTTTAAATTCAGCTCTGCTTCCTGGGATTATATTATTGGTGATTTTGTTCGTTTGTTCGATTTTCAAAGTTAGGGTTGATGCCTATGCGACTGAAGTAACAGAGCGCGCAGAAAGTCAAACAAAGAGAAACCCATTCAAAAAAAAAAAAAAAAAAAAATTCTTCTGATGTGAAAATGTTTCCGGCTTTCACAGTAGATCAATTGAATATTTCTAGTTTTTAAGCTTGAACCTGGAGAAACATGATTCGCTCGTTACGCTGGGAATGAACAGGTAATAACCAATATTTGATTGGAAAATCACTCACGGCGATTATGGCCTTGGAAAAGCTGTGGAGGAGGTATTAAAAAAAAAGAAGGTTAATTAACAATCTGTCTGCTGCTCGGAAAGCTGGTTCTCTGTAATGTGGTAAGACAACCCGCATCGCCAGAATCTATCTTACAGTTTTATTCGCCCACACATTTAATACTGCTATCGCATCTGGTCTGGTTCCTCTACAATACATTTCGATATTCTTGACAAAATCAAAAGAAGAATCTGCAATTGTATCGATCCTGATCTTGCATCTTCGCTTCAGTTATTTTCCTACCGCCGTAACCAATCTTCGCTGTGCCTTTCCTATAAATAATTTAATAGTAATTATTCCTATGTACTTTCGTCTTTGGTAAATATTTATAAGGGTTTCATTTTTAAATCTTTTCATTTCACTCCCCCTCCCCATGCAGATAAATTGTACATATAGGAATTTGCCTTTCCTATAAATAATTAAGTAGTAATTATTCCTATGTACTTTCCTCTTTGGTAAATATTTATAAGGGTTTCATTTTTAAATCTTGTCATTTCATACACCCCCTATGTAGATAAATTGTACATATGGGAATTTGTTAGGCTTTCATAGAGACTTTGAGGTATAATCGTGGCTATAGTAAGAATGTAAAACAAGAATATCTTGTTTTGGTATAAGGAATATAGTGGTATGTTTGCATCAGTAATTGTGACTTGGTACGTTTAAGATAAGACTTTATGAAAACCAGCCTTTCCCTGTCTCAACTTTTGGCCTTGTGATATATTTTTGAATTTGTTAAATAAACAGTGCTTTCCTCTTCAACCTGTATTAGATTGGCGGCAAGGTCACATTATTTTACAGTTGATATTTCTAGATATCACTTTTAATTTCTTTTATCTCACTTTTGTCCTTTCCTGCTTTCTAGTGAAATTTGTTCTTCAAAAATGCAAATGCGATTTTAATCATTATCTTCTGTTTTCTTAATTCCTGTTTTTTTTCTTGCTTTAATAATGTTTTACTTTTGTTATAGTGGAACACACTTATTCTATAGTTAATAGACTCTCCCACCTATAATAAGTAGGAGTAGTAAGAGTAACGAGGCGCTCAGTGAGTTGGTCAGTCAGTCGATGTCGGACGACCGTTAGTCGGATACTAAAGTATCAGCGACCACCACTAGATTTCTCTGCGTCATTACCAATTATATCAAGTTCCTAAGGTTTGGTACGTCGAAACTATTTTAGGACCGACTTAGTACAAATACAAAGCCTCCACTGTGAAATCCACTCCATAAAACCTTTATTTCATATTCTTTCCCATTCACTCTAAAAACAAACCAAACTGCCGAGTGTGGTAGTAATATCTCCACAATCTCATATAATTTAGGATGAAATTATAAAATTTAAAAGAAACAAACTAAAACGTAAATATTTTATACTCTTTTAAAAAATCATTGTATGGGCTGTGAATATATGTTTGTTATATACATTTAAAAAAAAATTAATATTTTAATAAAATACTCGAACGCAATCCCAAACTTTACAGGATTAATGTATAAGACAATCATTTGTAACACATTTATCTTTTAGAAACATTTCTGGTTGCCTTGAAGTGGAAAATTTTTAAAAAGGTGAAACCATACAGCAATGATACCCGTATTTGCTACCTTTGTCAATATGAGAAATTAGCAATTAAAACATTTCCAGATAAAAAAAAAAACCTTTTAAACCAAAGATCTGAAGTTTTAAATCCTTGCCATCATATAAAAAAAAATTGGATAAAGGAATATGAGGCCGAAAAAAAAATTTAAAACCCCATTGTTAGTTTTACAATACGTTTGCTCCCCACCCGCATCCTTCCCTATATTTACGAGACACTAGACCTTAATTTACGTTAAACTTGCTTTTCTTTTTCTGCTTCTTTTCCTTATACATTTACGATGCACTCACTTTCTTCTTTTCCTTCTTCCTCTTCTTTACCTACTCCTTTCTGTTACATTCAACGTTATGCGTTATTTTGAAAAATAATATTGTAGTATTATTTGTGTGTGTGTGTGTGTGTGTGTGTGTGTGTGTGTGTGTGTGTGTGTGTTTTAAATAAAGCGTTGGATGGTCAGTTGATAGAATTAGCCTGATGAGCCTGGAAGAATTACCATGTAAGGTCGATAAGGAGTGCTGACCTGAGATGGAACAAATACATTGAGTCAATTGCTTCGTCCACCGCGAGGAAAGTCGGCTCTCTGTGCCGCGCCAGAAAATTTTTCTCCCCGGAATCGATACTTCAAATATACAAATCAACCATTCGCCCTTGCATGGAGTATTGCTTCCATATATGGTCTGGTGCACCTCGGAGTTCTTGACAAGATCCACAGGCGGATATGTAATATAATTGGCCCTGATCTGGTATCTCGTCTACAGTTGCTCTCTCACAGACGCGCCGTCGCCTCTCTCTGTCTTTTTTTACAAATACTTTCATGGTAATTGGCCCGAGGAGCTGCTTTCACTGGTACCCAGACTTCATGAATTCAAGCACCCTACGAAGCTGGAATCCCGCTCTCACCCTTTCACTGTAGAAACTTTTAAATGTAGCCGTCTCTTCAACTCCAATAGCTTCATATCCCGCACCTCTCGCCTGTGGAACTCCCTTCCCTATTACTGTTTCCCTGAGAGCTATAATTTCCAACTATTCAAATGTAATGTCAATCGACATCTCCAGTTACCTTGATCTATCCACTATCCCTCTCCTCATCCTTTCTTCTATCACTCCTATCTGCTCTCGCTCCAAATCTTCTGCAACCCCCTGCATCCTAGTGGCTTCCCGCCTTGCTCGGGGCGTAATGCTTAAAAAAAGTCTATGCTATGGGTAATTTTGTCCAACGAAAGATGCTACAAACCAACCTAAGAAATAAAGTCGTTTTCGTAAAAAGCCTCGTCAGATTTATTCTTCAGGAAGACACTCTAACTCTTGTTACGACAGGGATTCATTTCAATGGTTTTAAAAAAACAGTAATGTACAGATAAACACAATTAACAACTAAATACGAACATATAATTCGAGTATATGACTTTCTTTGTTATTACTACAAAATAACAAATAAAGTCACATTTTTAACAAAATCTCTTTAAGGACTTCAATCTGACCTGATTGAAGTCCTTAATTCCCATGTTTGAAAATCATATCTCCTCGAAATAATTCAACAACGTTCCTTTCCACGTACTTCTCGCCTGTGGAACTTCTTTTCCATTTACCTGCTTTCCTATCACCTACAATCTTCAGTAATATTAATCCAACTCTAATCGCCATTTTCTGTCTTCCTGAAATCTGTTCTTTTATTGTCCTTTTTCCTCACTAAAATCTTGTTATTTTTTATATTATTTAGGGTTGAGAACACTAATTGACATAAATAAAAAAGTAGAAAATTGTAATAAAACTAACAAAAAAGCCTTTTTAGCTAATGTGAGATATTCAGTTTTTATTGATACCGAAAATGTATCAATGGGTACCATTCCATATCTATCTATCTATCTATCTATCTATCTATCTATCTATATATATATATATATGTGTGTGTGTGTGTGTGTGTGTGTGCGTGTGTGTGTGTGTGTGTGTGTGTGTGTATCCTAGTGTAAGGTACGTTAATTCCAATCTCTAAAATTGTTTTAAAAAGTGCTCAATACAGAGTAGAGCTTAATAATATTCAACAATTATAAGAAAAATATGACACACACACACACACATATATATATATATATATATATATATATATATATATATATATATATATATATATATATAAGAAAGTTCTATATTAAATACATTAATTTTAATGCTCTGAAAAAGAACATTCTTTTTACAGTGTAACCCGGATATAAGAGACCCGGATATAAGAGAAACCCGGATATAAGAGAGATTTTATAAGCATTATCGTTTTTCATATTACAAGGAAATAAGCATTATCGTTTTTCATATTGCAAGGAAAAACAAAATATTTTCGAGATGAAGCAGTCTTTTAGCGAAACGTTTTCCTATTAACTACAACTTTCGAAAGGCAATATAGAATTACGCAAACTCCACTATTTTCAAGATAACGATTTCATAATTTTCAAGAAAATATTCCTTGACTCTTCATTCCAAGAAAACAGATCAAATTTTCCTAATTATGGCATATGTAAATTAGGACTTTAAAATTCATTGCTTTTTTTTTTAATTTTCTGTTTACAAATCATCGATGTGTTTGTGATGAAGACAGCTAACAGAAATCTCACCTAATGAAGAACTCATGAAAAATGCGTCTTTTAAGTGAGTCCCTGAATGACACAGGAAAATATGTTTAAATTTAGCTCTCCCCCTCCTCTGATTAGAGTAGAGGTGAATAGGTCCCTTTGTCCGATTTATGCAAATGAGGCTGCAAATAATGGTATGGTGGTCTGCATAAAGTTGTGTAAAAAATTAAAGAAACAAGAAAAAATGCTAGAAGTCAAATTATTGAACATTTTCCATAATGTAATTTTGTTCATAAATACTTTATTCACATTTGGGGACATCGGCGAGGTGCAAGTGTTAGCAAACTTGTATCGCTCGATCATTTACGACTGAGGAGTGAGTTCAATCCATACTGGGTACTCCATACTTTTGGAATTATAACACATCTAAGCTCCGTTTGGAAAAATCTTATTGAAAACTTCGTGATGGAATGTTTAACAAGGTAGTATTGCTCGTCAGTTACGACTGAGTAGTGAATGGGATCCTCATTGGGTACCCCAGAATTTTGGTCTTGCGCCACATCTAAACTATGCTTAGAAAATCATTTGACTTCGGCGTGATGTGATGGTTAGCAAGCTAGTATTTCTCGATCAATTACGACTGAGTAGCGGGTGGGATCCTCACTGGGTGCCCCACATGTTTGCCACATCTAAGCTCCACTTTGAAAATCATATTGATGGGATGGCTAGCAATTATGGTTGAGTAGAGAATTCGATCCTCGCTGGGTGACCCCAAATATTCAGCTTTGTGCCACATCTAAGCTCCATTTTGAATATCATATTGAGATCGTCGCCATGATATATCGCCAAAATCGTTCGATCAATCACGAATGATTTATAAGTAGGATCCTCACTAGGTGACCCATAATTTTGGCTTTGTACTACATCTGAAATTCACTTAGAAAATCATATTGTAAACGTTATAACTGAGTGGGATGGACATTGTAGTCTCTATACTCTCGCCCTTGTGCCACATTTAAGCTAGACTTAGAAAATCACCACAAATATTTTATCTGTATATTATAGTATTATAAGTACATGCTACGGAGTTTTTGACTAAAACTATTCAGCAAATAGTTATAACATTTTAAAAGACTTTCTTCAAATACCCTCTCTTTGCGATAATAACAAGATTCTATCAATAAATGAAGATATACACAATAAATTTATTTTTCAACCTTTTACTGTTATATTACTTGGCCGAGCGTGTCAATGCCTGATTCTTATTTTAAATATTCTAACAATATGGCTGATGCTAACCCTCAGGAAAGTGACTCCTAGCAATTTCTCGGGCAAAAGTTTTCCACGGAAATAAAATGGAAATATTATATTGAGGCAATATATTGACAGTCCTGTTTCTAGCAATGTTGGGTCTCTGTGTTGTGAGAGACATTTTTTTTCTGGATAGGATCTCTTACATCTTTATAATAACTCTGCCATTCGTCCATGCATTGAATATTTCTGTAATATCTGGTCTGGTGTTCTGCTATATATCAAGATATTCTATATAGAATTCAAAGCAAGAATCTGCAATGTTATTCGTCATGAGCTGGCATCTTGGCTTGAGTCACTGTTCCAGTGCTGTAATGTAGCTTCCCTGTTCTTTTTCGATAAATAATTTAATCGTAATTGTTCTGAAAAACAATCCTCTATGGTACATAGGCTCTATGAATTTAAGCGCAGTACTAGATTGGTGGCAAGATCTTACCATTTCACAGTTGAATTCTCTTCAGGCTTCTTGATTTCAAGTCAAGCTTTGGCCTTCAATGATATAAATACAATATCAATCATTATATATACAATCATTATAAATACAGTGTCAATCATTATCTTCTATTTTCATAATGCCTATTATTTTATTGTTCTTTCGACTCAATAGTGTCTTTTTTCCCGTATTCTGTCACACTGAGTAACTCCCTGCATATTGGTGAATTTAGTGCCTTGCTTGGGTGATATATATATATATATATATATATATATATATATATATATATATATATATATATATATATGTGTGTGTGTGTGTGTGTGTGTGTGTGTGTGTGTGTGTGTGTGTGTGCATTTAGGCAATATGATCTGGACATATTATGTATATTTATTTAATTATAAACCACTCAAGTTCTTTGATCGATTTCTTAATGTTGATATTAAATTTATTAAGGAAGGTGCCGTAGTTTATTTCTTTTATTTTATTTTCATTTTTATTTTCCCAAGTACTTTCACACAAGACAGAAAAGAATGTAGCTGATAGTTGGGATTTTTATGTAAACACGCATGAACGTGCTCTGTTAAAATTATTTTTAAATTAACTGAAGCTATGGCGGTTTTACATGTTTTTGATCTAAGGTACGTAACTTTAAATTAGATAATTATATCTATTCTCTTTTGTTCAAAAAACATTTTAAACATTTTTAAATTACTGCTATTATAAATATTTCAAAACATTGTTGCTATACACGTAACTAAACTTATTTAGTGTTGGCTGTTTTCTCCTTATAAAGAAGGCTACAAGAACTTGAAGTTTTGTTTGTTTGTTTTTATTTTCATGATGTGGTACACTGGTGTTATCAACAAATACTTTTCTGTATTGGGAAGGTGGACAGGAATGTGCCTTTAATGTTGTCCGATAGAGCTTGTATACGATATTAAGAAGTCGAATAATGAATTCGAGGGGATCGCAATAAAAATAAATAGACATAATATGTACAGATTATTTAACCAAACATGCTTTATATATATATATATATATATATATATATTAGGTTGGTGCAAAAATAATGACGTAATGATGTCGTTTTTGACGTTAAAAAATACGTCCAAAAACGACATTATTACGTCATTATTTTTGCACCAACCTTATATATATATATATTGACATAGATAGATAGAAAGATAGATAGATAGAATAGTTAGCACGCCAATGTCTTTTGATCAGATGATTCGAATAGTAGACAAAACACTCTCAATTATCTTGAGTTAGGTAAAAGATATAATATTAGTTTCTGCAAGAATTGTGTGTATAAAAATCGAGCCAGAACTGCAGGGTTTCCCGTGGTTGCAGGGACCATCTTATCAACACTCCTACACCAGGTGCCCCGCCATCAATATCGTTTATATATATATATATATATATATATATATATATATATATATATATATATATATATATATATATATATAAAATTTATTTGTTTAAACCTTATGTGTAATGGATACTCAAAATTTGAGTAGATGCTCAATATATAGATATGTAGATATATATATATATATATATTTATATATATATTTACTGCTTATAAACTTCAATCTTCCATGAATCTCGTACATTCATAACTGCTCTGGCGTATGAAATGTAAACAAATGACGTCATATATTAAGAAATGGACAAAGTCCGACAATTTATTTATTAAAGACATTATTATATTTAACGTTCTTTTTTCTTTTTTTTTTTTGTAAATTCGACCTTGCCTACCGAACGCTCCTTTGCGGCGGAGTCGGTTAAGGCACGTCAGCATAAATGACGGTTCCGTATAGGATGCAGGTTCGAATCCTGTCAAAGGACGAATAATTTCTATAAAAATTTCTCGGACATTCAGGCCGGTAAATGTTATTTAATACTGTTTATTATAAACAGAGCATTTACTTAAATACTTGTATCTATAAAAAGAATGTTAAACATAAAAATGTCTTTAATAAATAAATTGTCGGACTTTGTCCTTTTCTTAATATATATATATATATATATATATATATATATATATATAATTTATTTGTTTATACCTTATGTGTAATGGATACTCAAAATTTGAGTAGATGCTCTTTTTTTTATTTATTTATCAAACACTATAATTATTTGTTTCCACCTACCGTCCTGAATATTCGAGACGTCTTTTTTTAGAAAAGCTATCGGGGCTGGGGCTATAAAAAACCAAACTACATATCAATTCAGCATTTAATCTACTTCGAAGAAATCCACTTTTTGAAGCCTTCACAATATATTCAGCTTCGTTTCCATTGATAGATAGATACCTGGAAGATCTTCTTATGTTTTGGAAGCAGCTAGCTGCCTCGTAGCATTTCTTGGATTTTTTTCGACACCTGGAAATGTTGTTCCTTTCAAATGGATTTAATTTTTCAAGAGGGAAAAGACGGAAGCGGAGAAATCTGGGTAATATTTTTTCGAATCTAGAGAAAGAAGCCTTTGGCAAAAACTGCTTTCCGAGGTATGGTCCCTCATGGAACCCCTGCAGTATGATCAGACGACTACACACTTTCTTTCCAAACACCGCCATAATCTACGGGAGTTATTATATGAAGCATTCAAACTAAAAAAAATATAATCTCTGTAAATTTGACAATAATGATAATAGTAATAAGAGCCGTTTCTTTATACGGAAATATTTGGCATTCTTTGACCGTGCAGCCAGTAAAACTATCGGTTTAAATTTGTAAAATATTTCTCGCTCAAACCGGTATTGATGGTGGTTTCATTGTTAACCTTTTGCTTGACGTCATATGGAACATCACCCTCGTAATTACAGTATTATTTCTTCTTCGTGAGATACATTGTTTTTACTACTTTCACCCCAGGGAAGGCGGTAAAGTCACTAAGGTTTAGTGAGTGAAAAAGAAGAAGACCAATAAAAAGAGGAATCAAGAAGACAGTAGATTACAATAGACATTGCATTTAAATTTTTAAAGATCAATCATGACTGAAAAGCATGGAACCTGAAGAGCATTCCACAAGCGAGAGGTGCGAGAAAAGGAACTGTTAGTATAGAACTTACGGTTATATCGAGCTATTTCAACTGATATTACGTAACAGTTCAGTTTTTGGTATTTAACCTAATCTTTATAGGGAAAGATGCCTTCCAAAAGCTAAGCAAAGTATTAAGTACTGCGCTCAAATTCGTAAATTCGAGCTATCAAGGAGAAAAGCTCATCAGAATCATTACCATGGAAATATTTATAGAAAATTCTACTTTACTGCTGTAGAAAGTACCTGAAACAGATATCCAGGCCAGGAAAGATAACATTGCAGATTCTTCTTTGGATTTTATCACTAAATATATAACAGAAGCACCAGACCAGATGTGACAGCAATACTCGACACATGGACAAATGGTAGACTTATAAATGTCTAAGGATTGTCGAGAACAACTGTTATACAGGGAAAAAAATGTCGCCGTCGACACTTGAGTTTGAACATAGATCAGTAGTGAGCAAACACAGGCGATCCTATTATTGAATTAAGTAGACCACGTGACCATAGAGGAAACGCATATAGGAAGTCGTGTGACGTCTAGATTGATCGCTGTATTCTTTTCTATCCTCTATTACTATACGGACCGCTTTTCTCTACACTATTCCCTATACTAATCACTATACAGATGACTATTCGAGCGAGTATTGTCAAGCAGGTACTATTAGTACGTGTGATATTCACCAGTATTGTTCATCGTCGTATTATAGTTGTAATCTGCGATTACAAAGGTTTTACGGCAACGAGCATTACAAAAGTGACAACGAACGTTCGTTTGAGTCCCAAAAATGACATTGAACCGACCTTTCTAGCAGCAGATTCAATTTGAAATAAGCTTTCCACTTCATATAAACGCAGACCGTTTTCGTTTTGTAGAAATTAGCGGGGTTGGGCGAAACTATCTCTATCGTAGATTATTCTATGTCCACTTACCTTTTCTCCTCTCTCTATACCAGTGATTCTTGTCGTAACGGTTAGCAAGCTTGTCGCGCTTCATCGATTACAATTGAGTAGTGAGTTGGATTCTCACTGGGTGACCGACACTTTCAACGTTTTCAGCAACATCTTAGCTTCACTTGGAAAATCATTAATGATTCCCTGGTTTCTGTTGAGTTACCTTCAAAACAATATTAAGTTCAAACCTGATGGGGCTATCACTCCAAACAGTAACTCTCCTTCGGTCGGGGTATGGGGCCAGGGTCATTACTCGGTGCCTGAGGCGTCCCTAATAGGGGAAGTGACGAGGGGTTTGGTCAAAATCCCAGTGTCCAATCGTTAAACACACTTCAAACCTCGACCTTTATTATTAGGCAGGTGCAAAAATAATGTCGTTTTTGATGTTGTTTAACGTCAAAAAACGACATTATTTTTGCACCAACCTAATACATTAGGTAGTGAAGTGGGTGCAAAAAAAAATCTACTTCCCTTTTTGAAAGAGATTGAAAACATGTAATGTGTGGTGCTCATCTAATCGGCTAATCTTCTCAGCCGCCGTACTGTGGCAAACTAGAATGCCACGCGACGCTCTTAGGTGTATAAATATTGTCACGACATACATATATATATATATGTGTGTGTGTGCGTGCGGAAGTCGTGATGGCACAGCGTTAGTATTTGAATAAATGAATAAATATTAATTTTTTATCCCACATTAGCTAAAAAGGTTTTACCGTTTTCATTGCAATTTTCTAGGTCTTATTTATGAGAATCTGGTTTCTCACCCCTAAATAACATTAAAAACAAAAGCGAGAAAGACTATCCTCAAATGAAAAAGAAATGAATGTCTACTTATCGTACATTCGACCAAACATTGAAGAAATTACGAAATTCACCAGACACAGGTTTCGCAACAAATAAGCTGCAGAAATAGTTGAATAGAAACATTGAAATAAACTAATTTCACATTTGTGTACGTATATTTTTTAAATCGATGGTTTTATTTCATAATATTTAAATGTATATCCTTTAAATTTCTGCTAAGTGTGCCGTGATATTTTCATTTTCTTCTCAGTGTCCCTACACGCAAGACACCAACCTGCCATCGATAATTATTTTCCGCCATTGAACACAGAAAGGTATGATTGGATTCAAAATCCCTTCATATATGTTAATTTTAATAATGAACTTCCGTTATCTGAAGAAGAAGAACTGGCCACCATTTCTAGTGATCGAGAGCTCAAAATAAAACATTCGACGGTAACCTTTTGATACATTTTGGATTTCAATACAAAAGAAATGTCACGCATTAGCTAAAAAGGCTTTATCAGTTTCATTGCAATTTTCTACTCCTTATCCATGTAAATCAGGTTTCTCAACCCTAACATCAAAAATAAGAAGCGAGAAAGACTATGCTCAACTGAAAAAGAAATGAGGGTCTAGTTATCGTACGTTCGACCAAACATTGAAGAAATCACGAAAAATCACCAGACACAGGTTTCATACCAAATAACCTGCATAAATAGTTCAATAGAAATATTGGAATTAAGTAAGTTCTTAGTGTGCGTGTATTTTAAAAATGTTTTGATTTAGTTCATAACATTTAAATGTATACCCTTTCAAAAAATTGCTAAGTGTGCCGCGATATTTTCATTTGCTCCGAGGTGTGCCGTTGCTTAAGACTATCGATCAATATGAGCTCTGTCATCTTTCTCCGTTAAATCTGGATTTTCATTAAGATGTTGCAATTTCGTAACTAAAAAATTACCAGATCCTACCCTCGGTATCCGATCTGGTTATATTTACTGTAAATGTCATCAGACTTCGATGAACAGGCCGGTGAACGTATAGAAAAAAATAAAATAAAGATGCTTGTTTAATACGGTCGCTTATTTTCTCATGGAATTCTGAATTTTCTTCTTTTATCTGCTATGTCGTTTCAGGACGCTGACGATCATGACTCTCCAGAACTTTATGTCTTTTGTTCATCTAAGTACTTCTTTAATGTTTACCATTCCACATTTCCTATTCGTTGATTCAATTTCGTTCTGTATGTTATGTTTCCATCCAGGTTTTCTTGTTATCTGCATGTAAAATTTGCTAGGCCCTCAGATAACTGCTACAGATCATAAGTATAAGAGTGAGATTTTAGTTCGAATATTTTTGAAAGTTGTGTAACTCCCTTTAGTCCACCTGCTTTCAGGTAAATTTTGTTATTTAAAAATTTAAGTGCAAAGTCAATCGCTATAATTTTTCTACCTGTTATTCTATTGTCCTCTCTTTCTCTCTCTCATTCTCTTCATCTCTCTCTCTCTCACTCTCTTTCTCGCTCTCTCATTCTCTTTCTCTCTCTCTCACTCTTTAACAATGGACCTTAGTCGAGTTTTCGGATAAATTTTGTTTTTGTTTTGTAAGATTCTTTTAATAATTTCACCACAAGCAAGGCAATAAAGCCACTAAAAGGCGAGGGGTTACTGAGTGTGAGAAAATATGAAAACAATAAAACATCATATTCCTAAAGCTTTCACGTTGTGTGTATTGTCTCTCCTTGAACTGCTTAGCATTTGTCGATAGAACCTCACATCACTCGTTTCAATTGACTTCTCCATATGTGATGAGATTATCTAACATTCACTTCCATTAAGGTGATTAGATATTACATAGCTCTTCAGCATTTTTTTTTTCTAAGTTAATTTTCCTATTTCTTAATATGTTGCTTACTTACCTAAAGGCATTTTTCCATCTTTGGATACTAAGACCAAAATGGAAACCTTTGGTTGTCCACTGTTAATGGGATTTAAGCGCTTCTTTTGTTGCAATAACATCATCACCCACAATGCAATTTTCTTGGAAGGAAACACTTATTCTTATTCAAAATGCTTTTTTTTTTTTGTCGATCAAAGGTAGCTCCTCTTTTACAAGAACAAATTATCAAACGAATTTTTAGCTGTTTGGGCTTCTTTTTTTTTTCTTGTTTTTTTTTTCCTATTTATTCCGTCTTTCATTTTCGTTTTTCTTTCTTTCATTTATTACTATCTGTGTAGTTCCATATTTTATTGTTTCATTTTTCTTCTTTGAATCACAGACAATTTTTTCAAAGGACAAAAATATATTACTCGCTATCTGATTTTCATTTTCGTTGTTGCATTATTAACTTCTTTTTATTTTGTTTTTACATCTTATTCTCTTTTTTTTATTTTAGATTCTTTATTCCTTCTTTTTTTTATTCCCTTTTAGTTTTCATTCTTTCAGAACTGATCCTTATTCATAAGAGATTTTAGATTTTCCCCCTCTTTTCATTCCGTCTATTCACTTTCTTCTTGATTTCTTTTATGAATTTGTTCTCATCTTATCACCATTTTTTATATTATTTTTCTTTCTTTCTTTCTTTCTTTCTTTCTTTCTTTCTTTCTTTCTTTCTTTCTTTCTTTCTTTCTTACGCATATCCGGGCTTAATCACCACTATTCTTTCTTTCTTTTTTGATTGTTTGTTTGTTCTTCGTTTCTTTCTTTCTTTCTTTCTTTCTTTCTTTCTTTCTTTCTTTCTTTCTTTCTTTCTTTCTTACGCATATCCGGGCTTAATCACCACTATTCTTTCTTTCTTTTTTGATTGTTTGTTTGTTTTTCGTTTCTTTCTTTCTTTCTTTCTTTCTTTCTTGGTTCTTGCATGTTTCCGGATTTGATCACCACTATTCTTTCTTTCCTTTTTGTTTGTTAGGTTGCTTGCTTCTTTCTTTCTTTCTTTCTTTCTTTCTTTCTTTCTTTCTTTCTTTCTTTCTCACCCTTCTTCTTTCAGTTCCTCTTTACGCCCTGTTTTTTATACACTTTCAGTCTTTATTTATTTTCATCTCTCACTTCATTTAACCTTTCCTATTTCTTTCTTTACTCACTTTCTCCGATTCCTTTTCTTCGATTTCTCTGCTTTCCTTCATTTCTTAAATTTCTTCATCCACTTGTTTCTCGCGTATATTTGTTTTGATTTTTTCTTCCTTTTTTCCTGATTTTTTCTGTTAATCTCTGTCTTTTAATTGTCTTTTTCGCTTTATTAACTTCTCTTTATTTTTTTATGTACTGACATCATTTTAATTTCTTCTTCCTTGTCTTTTTTCTGCTTTTGTTTATCATTCTTTGTCATCTGTTTCTTATTTATAAAATGTTTGGCTTTTTCTCTTTCTTTTTCTTTCTTTTTGTTCACGTTGTCCATGGTTTCCTTTCTTTCTTTCTTTCTTTCTTTCTTTCTTTCTTTCTTTCTTTCTTTCTTTCTCACGCCTATCACACTATTCTTTCTTTCTTTTTTGATTGTTTGTTCTTCGTTGCTTGCTTTCTTTCTTTTTTCTTGCGCATTTTTAGGCTTGATAACCAATATACTTTCTTTCTCTTTTGTTTGTTTTTCGTTTCGTTTTGTTTCGTTTTCGATCTTTCTTTCTTTCTTCCTTTCTTTCTTTCTTTCTTTTTTTCTTTCTTTCTTACGCATATCCGGGCTTGATCACCACTATTCTTTCTTTCTTTTTTGATTGATTGTTTGTTCTTTCTTTCTTTCTTTCTTTCTTTCTTTCTTTCTTTCTTTCTTTTTTCTTTCTTTCTTTCTTTCTTTCTTTCTTTCTTTCTTTCTTTCTTTCTTTCGTCTTTCTTACGCATATCCGGGCTTGATCACCACTATTCTTTCTTTCTTTTTTGATTGATTGTTTGTTCTTTCTTTCTTTCTTTCTTTCTTTCTTTCTTTCTTTCTTTCTTTCTTTCTTTCTTTCTTTCTTTCTCACGCCTATCACACTATTCTTTCTTTCTTTTTTTAATGTTTGTTCTTCGTTGCTTGCTTTCTTTCTTTTTTCTTGCGCATTTTTAGGCTTGATAACCAATATACTTTCTTTCTCTTTTGTTTGTTTTTCGTTTCGTTTCGTTTCGTTTTCGATCTTTCTTTCTTTCTTCCTTTCTTTCTTTCTTTCTTTTTTTCTTTCTTTCTTTCTTTCTTACGCATATCCGGGCTTGATCACCACTATGCTTTCTTTCTTTTTTGATTGATTGTTTGTTCTTTCTTTCTTTCTTTCTTTCTTTCTTTCTTTCTTTCTTTCTTTCTTTCTTTTTTTTCTTTCTTTCTTTCTTTCTTCCTTTCTTTCTTTCTTTCTTTTTTTCTTTCTTTCTTTCTTTCTTACGCATATCCGGGCTTGATCACCACTATTCTTTCTTTCTTTTTTGATTGATTTTTTGTTCTTTCTTTCTTTCTTTCTTTCTTTCTTTCTTTCTTTCTTTCTTTCTTTCTTTCTTTCTTTCTTTCTTTCACGCATTTTTGGGCTTGACAACCTCTATTCTTTCTTTCTCTTTTGCTTGTTTCTTTTTCGTTTCTTTCTTTCTTTTTACGCACCCCTGTTTTTTGATGAACTTATTTCTGCTGCTTTTTTTGTCTTTCTCATCATATAAATCTCTCGAATGTGGGAAAAAAATAGAGAGATTTGATGGCGACCTGCAAAAGGCAGCCATCCAAAGACATTTCATCATCGAAGTCACCCAGTATAACAAACATTCCTCCGAATGAAGAGATCTTTTATGCATCAGTTCCCCTGCACCCATCAAGGATGTAAGCCTTGTCGTTATGTTCTTAGCTACTTCACTTGACGTTCCGTGATCGCATATTGCTGTTGTAAAGTGTAATTCTAGATACCTTAACGATAGGCAAACCTATCTCTGGTCTGCTTGTCCCATTTCTTGAAAGATCTATCAATGGCTTTTTGTACCAGTCCCAACGAGGATGTAGGCGATCATGCCTTTCCAGAAATGAGTTTATTATCTGTAAATTGCTATGACGTCTAAGTAAAGATCATTGAGTGGTTTCCCGTTGCTCCGATTTCAACCTCACAATTGTTTTTTTCTTAGACTGGTTAGGGTAGAGAGTCGGGTCTATTTTGATATTTTACCCACAGACGGCTGAGGAAGAATAAAGATGTTCATGTTTTTTCCAAGGTTATTAGTGAGCAAGCGAATGCAACAGACATGTTCGTAATTTGAACTCGATTTTCTGATTTTACTTTCCGCGTCAATACTTGTTAAGCTACCCACACATTCTTACAGTGAAGGATCAATAATCTAATTAGACAAATATAGTTCACCTAATATTTCTTTAAGTTGGGCATTAATATTTCCTATATATATATATATATATATATATATATATATATATATATATATATATACTCGACTCTCCCGTCGGTGGAGTAATGGACAGATACTTGGATTGAGGGATATATCTATCTATATATATATATCTATCTATCTATCTATCTATCTATATATATATATATATATATATATATATTTTCCTCAATATATATATATGGGGGTCCTTCTACATTAATACCGGTCGTGGTTGATAAACATACGTAAAACTTTTTAAGGATCTCTCTCTCTCCTGCTCTCTCATATACACACACACACACACACACACACACACACACACACATATATATATATATATATATATATATATATATATATATATATATATGTGTGTGTGTGAGAGAGAGAGAGAGAAGAGGGAAGAGATAGAAAGAGATAGCGAAATAGAGTTTATATATTAATTATACGTTAAATTCTTTAACATTGTCTGTCTGTCTGTCTGTCTGTCTGTCTCTCTCTCTCTATATATATATATATAAATATATATATATATATATATATATATATATATATATATATATATATATATATATATATATATATATTGTTAAGTATGACAGAAAATGAATGGCCATTATCTTTGATCATGAGCCGTTCTAAACTTGTATAGTTGCTTTAATTTCGGAATAAAGTAAAGACAAAAACTGTCCAAGATTTGAATAATTTTTTTTATTATGTCGTTCCAAGCTTTCGGCTCGCAGGTGCCATTTTCAGAGTGGTTATATGGACATTTAAACAGAGATATTCACCATCAACGATGTTATTCTGTTATGATGACATAGAAGTTCGCTATGCAATGACAACGGTCGCGGAATAGCAGACGTAGATTGTAAATTCATGTTGCAGTTCTATGACATCGTGCCCCGTTGTTGAACGAAACATTACCAACAGAATCACAATTTGAAACTGGCGTTCGTTTTGGTCAGATTTCTGTTGTGTTCAAGATTGAAACCTTGCATCGTTCGGTTGTGAGTTCAGACTTATTTCAATGCTGAAGTTTTGTCCACGTATCAATGCCTTAATAATTGAGGATATGAATTTGCACTTTTGCCCTATTATGATCTATGAATTTCGGAAATGAGAAAGCATGGGAACTGCGGCAAAAACATTCAGAAGCTTTATTTTGATGGTGCCCTAGCTCTTCGGTCGGTCAAATAGCGGTTTGGCAGATTTCGTCAGGGTTGTTTTAAACTAAACGCCCGACCACGTCCCGGGTGATCTTCCGACGTCGATAAAGAACGCTCTACTTACCATCGTTGATTTCGACGGAAGAGAATGCTAAGAGTTTGAAAATCGATATCTCAACAGCGTTTCGCCATTTGAAGTAACTTAGTTTCTAGGTGTCATTTGTCATCGCAAGAAAGCAAACTGCATGTTGCGAAACACATCTTGCAGAATCTTGCAGAGTAAAAATGGGAAGCCCTCCAGCACCATATTCTTCTGGCTTGTGTTCTTCAGTTTTTCATTTGCCCAGGTCTCTATAGAAAAATGTATATGAGAATAACTTGACTCCATAAAATCAATCGAAAACTTCATTTAAGTGTCAAGAATATTTAGAAAGGGACGTTCTGTTACAATAGGCATTGTTGTTGAAAGATAATATGTGTTGACACCACGTAGTTTTAAAGAAATTTTTGGTACTACCAATATAAATTTTTTAAACCGAATGGATAAATATATACGAGCGATCGTATAAAAATACAAGTCCGAGTTTCATGCCGAAGCAATTTTTAAGTGCATTTCAGCACCATTTTTTTTTTAAACGTTCTGGCTCATGCAAGATATATTATTGTTAGGGTTGAATACTATTGGAATTAAAATATTTCTAGACATTTATATTTCTTATTTAAAACATTATTTTCAATCTTAAATGATAATCCGAGCTTTAATTCAAATTCAAACTCAAACTAAAGTCCATTTAAATATTTTAACTCCAATAATATTCCACCCCAACAATGATATATCTCGCGTGAACCATAAAATAAAAAAAAGATGTCAAACCAAAATATATATAATTTCAGCAGTTAAAAATTGCTTTGTCATGAAAATTATATATATATATATATATATATATATATATATATATATATATAAGGACATTTATGAGGGAGTAGAAATAGTTTTGGTTGACAAGTTTCAGCCTTTAAAACTTAATCGTTTACTGTTTACGTTAATATATCTACAGAAGTGCAGATAGAGAGAATTTTATTTTGTAATGTGTTTGATATATAGTTTAACCATCTATTTTCTACCATATATATATATATATATATATATATATATATATATATTTGATCCCAATTATATATATATATATATATATATATATATATATATATATATATATATATATATATATATTATTTGATCAATATATATATATATATATATATATATATATATATATATATATATATATATATATATATATATAATTGACTCTCCCGTCGGTTTCGACGTATGAGGATCTGACAACTTAATTGATTCAGTTATGAAATATTTTGAGATAATCTTAAGTGGCACTTAAGTTGCGCTAGTGATTTACAAAGGAGGCCGCATATTAGACAAGTGTAAGGATTGTGGGATGAGGTTACTGTTAGATTGGCTGACCATTTAGATCTTGCTCTTGCTTCTTGAAGACGATTTAGAGAAGCTGATTGAAAACTGCTGAGTCCACTGAAACACATTGATCCCAATTGTAACCTCTCCAAGGATAAGCGCTCGTGGGTGTTATGCGGTATATTGACAGCTGACAACTTGCTCTTCTTTGTATCTTAGCATTGGGCGTCCTCTATTCCTGTAGATCTAACA